ATTCTCCATAAATATTCCATCTGTGCCCACTCACGGTCATTTTTTATTCGATTTTACCCTGTCTTCTCCCACGTTGAATATTTATGGAGAATATTTTTTGACAAATTGTAGATTAGCGGACGCGGTTTTTTACGCTGATTTCTAATATGATGTTCAAATTCCTGAGAAATAAAGTTCTTTTTATGAAAATTTAAAAATAGTTTCCAATATTTCTGTGACTTTACTGTGAGTCAGGGAAAATATGTTTTCTCAGCAACGGTAAGATGTAAAATTAAAAGGATACACATTTTTGTTACTAATAAGAAGATAAATGAAATGACAAAGAATAATCGAATAAACAATGAAGCTAGAGAGTACATATCTTTTGCAGCATCGGTCACCCATAACATATTAGGGCTCTCATTTGGGACTGAACAAAATTTTAGACGTATCCTATATGAACAGGGTCAAAAGTGCATCATTAGATGCAACTTTTCACGCTGAATCTTAACAAAAGATACTTTTGAATCATGCGCAATAAAGGATCAAATAAAAAAAGCAAAATTTATCGAAAAATTCAACTTTTATTCATCCCACAGAAAAATCGAGTTTTTTTCAAATTTCGATCTCATTAATAGAACTTCACACCTTTTACTGTATACATTTTGTAGAGCTTGATGAACTCTATCGGATCATGCAAAAAATCAGTAAAAAACGCTGAGATTTTTGAATTTGATGCACTTTATATATATCCCATGCAGACAACCGTGCAATAGTTTGTTAAGACCTTCTTCACATATAACGCCTCGCAAGAGAGGTATTCCATATCTCACTACAGTTTTTCTGGATCTTTCGTCACTTCTCTTGCAATCACCACTACTCCTTCCATATCTCCTGTGTCTCCCAAAGCATTTGCATCTCTCATCAGTTCTCAAAAATCTTTCCGATGGGTACTATTCTCAATAGCAAAACAATTTTTTAATCATTAAATACTATAGATGCAGAGTTGGAAGATTCTGATGAAATCGATGAAGATGTGGGAGATGTAACATACTCTGCATATTCCTGCACTTCTTCAACATTCTCGATTTCCTGAATATATGACACTGTTGCTTTGTATGTATTGTACGGGTCAAAAACATGACATAGCCCTAAAATGACATGTTTAAGTATCATTGGTACGGCTGCATCAGTACCGCCTGAGTGGGACTAGCGCATCAACAGTCATCTGAAAACAAAGAGACAATCGATATCTCATAATAGAATTATTTGGGTTATTGTACCCGGTCCTCCACTCCATTGATAAAAGTAATATTTTGATCGCTCTATGTGCTAAAGTAAAGTTGTAATGCGTATTCATTAGGTTTTGTTAAAGATATTGTCTTTGAAGCAGGGAACAGATATAATCATTCTCAGAAAATATAAAATATGCTTTGTGCAAATGCAAGAAGTTATCGATCACAGGCAAAGTTGTCCTATTCAAGGCATTTTGCTTTTCCTTTTTCTCTTGCACATCGATAACGATTGGTTCGCCACGTTGTACTGTTAGTATTTTTGTTAATTGAAAATATTACCCTTTCCTTTGAGCAGACTTAATTCACTCGAGAACTCGTACGCTAGCTAGCACGCTGTGGTTCTTTTTATTTAATATATCTGGTGAAAATCATGTTGAATGCTTTAGAGAATCCCTTAAACATTGATTTCAGCAGCTTTGACAAGCATGGATGACATCAATCTTCGTATAAGTGTCATAGGCTTAGGCAAACTGGGCAGTCCAATGGCTGCTGTTTTTGCATCGAAAGGTTATCATGTAATCGGCTTGGATGTAAATAAGCAATTTGTCAACGCGTTGCAAAGAGGAGAAGCTCCGGTAGATGAACCTCAACTACAGGAACTGATTAATCAGTACAAAACTAATATCAAGGCTACAATGGATTATCACAGGGCCGTCAGTGAGACAGATATAACAATGATTATTGTTCCAACACCATCAGATCCAAAGACCGACTTTTTTAGCAATGACTATGTGCTTTCAGCTATTAAAGCAATTGGAGAAGCGATTAAGGCCTGTAATAAATATCACCAAGTGGTTGTTACATCCACAGTGATGCCTGGTTCAATGGATGGGATTATCCGTGATGTTATAGAATCATCGTCGGGCCGAAAAGTTGGTTGTCGAGATAATGAAATCGGCTTGGCATACAATCCTGAGTTCATTGCATTAGGACAGGTTATTAAAGATATGTTAAATCCAGATTTTATCTTAATTGGTGAAAGTGACAAGCGTATTGGAGATACCTTGCAAGCACTATATTCAAGTATAATAACTAAGCAACCATTAATATTTCAAAGAATGAACTTCATCAACGCAGAAATAACCAAAATTGCTATCAATACATATGTGACAACTAAAATAACCTACGCTAATATGCTGAGTGAATTATGCGAAAATCTATCAGATGCTGATGTCGATATAGTTACCGCTGCCGTTGGTTGTGATTCTCGTGTCGGGAGCAGATATCTAAAAGGTGCTTTAGCATATGGAGGACCATGTTTTCCAAGAGATAACCGTGCTTTTGTTGCCTTATCAAAATCTGTCTTCGTCAATGCTTTATTGGCGGAAGCAACTGACCAATTAAATAATTATCAAATCGATAGACTATTGAAAATATGCGACAAAATAGCAAAAATTCATTTTACTAATGCTCAATCAACTAAACTAAAGGTGGGTATTCTGGGATTATCTTATAAACCTGATACTCATGTCGTAGAATGTTCAGCTGCTTGCGCCTTAGCTAATAAACTTATAGGTAACTTTGATGTTTTTGCATACGATCCATTAGCTATGACATCGGCTTCTCAAATATGCAATAAAGCTGTGCAGCTCGTTAGTACTATTGAGAAGCTTCTTTACGAAAGCAATATTAATGTTTTAATAATCGCAACTGCTTCAAATGTCTGGAAAAGCATAGTGTTCAAACACACAGGAAAAGAAAATTTGTATGTAATTGATTGCTGGCGGTTACTGAAAAAAGATGAGATTGAGAAAAATAATCCACAAATTCGTATCATACTATTAGGAAACGGTAATTCAACAATGGCGCTGAAACAGCTAGAGACATTATATAAAAAAAATCAGGTGGAAACAATTGACTATCCAATTAATGCTCGTAGCCAACTGCGTATACTGGTAGCTGGTGGAGCAGGCTTCATTGGCACTCACTTAGCTCGCCGATTGTTGGAAGAAGGTCATTATGTTATTTGTGCCGATTGGAAGAGGAGTGAATATTTCCAGGAAGAAGAATTTTGCAACCAGTTTTTACATATGGACTTGCGCGTACTCCATAATTGTTTAGTAGCAACTAAAGGATGTGACTGGGTTTTTAATTTAGCAGCTGATATGGGAGGAATGGGATATATTCAATCAAATAATTCAGTGATTTTATTCAACAATACAATGGTTTCATTTAATGTGATAGAAGCTGCTAGACAAAACGATGTTCAAAGATTCTTTTATGCTTCATCTGCATGTGTCTATCCTAGACATGTCCAGACTAAAGAAAATGTTGAGGCACTCAAAGAAGAACAAGCATGGCCTGCACAACCACAAGATGCGTATGGGTTAGAAAAATTAGTATCTGAGGAAATTACAATGCATTACGCAAAAGATTTCCCAAAGATGCAAACCAAAATTGCACGTTTCCACAACGTATATGGACCTCAAGGACAGTGGAAAGGTGGTCGAGAGAAGGCTCCAGCAGCACTTTGTCGGAAAGTATTAGTGGCACACGAAGGAGAGAACCATGGCGTAGTCACCGTATGGGGGGATGGCAAACAAACGAGATCGTATTGCTATATCACAGATTGTATTGATGGGATAATGCGTTTAATGCAGTCCGATTATAGTCAGCCACTGAATATTGGTTCAGATGAAATGGTTTCTGTAAATGATCTGGTAGGTATAATTTGTGACCTAGAACAAGTTACTGTTACGCTCACACATATTCCCGGGCCCGAAGGTGTTAGAGGAAGAAATTCTGATAACACATTAATCAAAAAAGTGTTGAATTGGGCACCTTCAACTACATTAAGCCAAGGATTAAGAAGTACATACAAATTCATAAAAAGTGGATTAGAAATAGAAAAAAAAAATGGAATCGATATTTCGACCTATGCTTCATCAATAGTTGTTCCCCAAACGACTGAAACACTAGAAATGATTGGACAAGTAAAACCAAGTGACAGGAACTGCACGTAGAATAGCTGAATCCCAGTTAGAAAGACATATCGAAGTTCATATTTTTATTTTCAGGTATCTTCGACAATGTAGATGATTGATATGGTTTAAGGGTGACCCCTTCAGAACTTGACAAAAGAATGTTTTCGATGTATTGTTTTTCATTGATACATACACCTTGGTGTCTTCTGTAGATACGCAAAAAAATCCTTGCTTTGAACGCATTTAGCCCTGTACAAGAACGATTTTGTAGACTTCCTATCGAAAAAGACTCGATTTTTCACTTTTTTTGAAAAAAAATTCGTCTACGCGTTTAATCTACTTGTAGTTATCTCGTTTTTAGTATATAGCCAAGTCAGAGGTGCGTGCCGAGATGCGTGAGAAATCTTTCGGCTTCAGTCCGAGATTGCTGATCGAGGTTTCCAGATATGATTCGAACGAAAATATTGCAAGCGAATTTTTTTCGCGCTTTTTTCAAACTCAAATTTTTAGGGAAAAAAAGCGTTTCGCCCCCGTTTCTCCGGCATGGTAAGTGCGATCGAGCTAAGACGTTTTTCACATATAGTAGTCACTATTTAAGGTAGATATTTTTTTATTCAAAAAAATTTTACACCGGTGGCTTTTGAAAACTTTCACAAAAACCGCACTAGTAAAAAAACAGCAGCCTTTTTTAGGGTGCAACCGATATTTTGACTTTTTTATTGAAAGGACAAAAAATAAGGAACCCCCACAAAACAACCATTCCGAACAGTGTCCAGTACCTGTGAAAAAATTTAAAATCGATCGAATATAGGGTCTCTGCGAAATGGGGGGGGGCTGGGTTATTTTAACCGATCGCGACCCTAATATCTGATACAAGACGATATGTGAGAGCTTCGAGTCGAGCACAACTTTTGGTGTACTCTATAAAATCTATCTGGCAAGAAAGCGTCTAAATTTTCTGATGAGTCATTCTTCAAAAATACGGAAAGAGGGGCCCTCAATGCACTAGTATATTCATAAAAAATTATACGGCTAGTCAATTTCTAAATCGAAAGCGCACACATCAGACCAAAGTTAATTTGAATAAAAAATTTCTATTTTCAGCAAGAATACCTTCTTCCTAGGTTTCAGAGAATATGGAAATGAGCTTAAAAACCACTTAATCCTAAAGCCCACTGTCGGATGCGGTGATTCATTGAAAGTTCATACAACAAGTACTTATGCAATATCATAGAAAAGGTCGAGACGTCTCATATAGTGTATAGAAATTCTTGTGGGTGTGGGTGTGGGTGTGGGTGTGGGTGTGGGTGTGGGTGTGGGGGTGGGTGTGGGTAAGAGCAAGGTAGACACCTAAACCCACACCCACACCCATCACTTATATATCTTGAAAAAATATTGTTTAAAAATAACAAAAAAATTATTTATTCATCACTTTNTCTTGTGGGTGTGGGTGTGGGTGTGGGTGTGGGTGTGGGTGTGGGTGTGGGTGTGGGTGTGGGTGTGGGTGTGGGTGTGGGCGTGGGTGTAGGTGTAGGTGTAGGCGGATTCAGAGAGTAAAAAGAGCATAGCCAACACCATCACCCTCACCCACACCCTTTCTAACCAGCTTGACGTTTTTTAAACGTGGAATATCCTCTCTTCCTTGATATAATTCGAATATAAATGTAGAAAATAGCCTGAGAGCTGAGAGACTATGGTGGCTTAATGAAGAATGCTGCATTAAGACGGAGCAGCCCGTATTCAACAAGGTTTTGTCCATCTCCTAAATTCGGTTCCTTATGGAAAATTGCATAGTTATTGGAACGAAACATTTCGAATAGCCTGTGTGCACGCCGGGAATGTTCTTCATCTTTATTTGGTTCCAAATGTATCTCAAAAAGTATTTGTCGAATATATGGCATTGAAGACATGCTGTATTCATGAGCAATAGAATTTTCGACACCTTTGGGCGCTTTTAGAAATTCTTCAAAGAAAATAAATTCGCTTCCTTCGATATCAGCTTTAAGTATATCGATTTCTCGTTTTTGATGCCGGAGTTCGTAGATAACCTTTTTTAATGATGTTGTACCATTTTTTTTTCCATCACCCGCATACACCTGATGGAATATGCAAATATTAAGTGGACAAATGTAAGTTTCTAAATCAAAGGTATGTATTTCAGCTGTAGGTAGTTCTCCCTTAAGGGCACGCTCGAAGCCAAAATCATCTTTAGACCCAAACGAATATATTAGAGGTGTTACATTTTTTTGCTGTAATTGATGTATATTGCAAACCCATTTTCCACCATCCCCTGTGTTACCTATTCGTTGTTCAAATGGACAATGTATTGTTGGTTCCCAATTGTTTTGGAAGAATAATTGACGTATGTCAGTGTTGCGATTTCTTTGGTCCTGTATATGATGTAAACGCTTTCGACGGTTCCAATCATCATCGAATTCGCAAAACCAATTATCTGACTCTCTCAGTGACAAACGACATTGAGCGCGAGTGATTTGATATTTACATGAACTCGATATTGAGATCAACCTCGAGTACAATGATGGCATTTCGTAGCGAAAATCATGGTATAAGACGCCCAAGACAACTAGAATTATTAATACTCCAAGGAGCTTCTTTATTAGCGGCATCATAGTTTTCAAAATATCACTTAAAGTAAAAATAATCATTAATTACCCAAGGGAAATTAAAATTAAAAGAAAATCATTAGACAGCTCGATTCAGGTAGGTAACTGTATCATCTTCTAAGGAACTAAGATTATATCGGTATTTTTATTTTTCTACAAATTGCTCGACACTTCGGTTCATATTTCAAATGAATAAGAATACATAGAAATACCTAGAAAGATGAATATACACATTCTCTGCTTGACTTTTTCTCACTAAACCTAAACCTTCCTTTCGGTACAAATCTTCCGTGAGAGACAGCTTAGGCGATACTAAAACTGAGCCTTTTAGTCTAATGAAAATCTGATTACAACAACTTTCGGGTTACATATGACTTGCAAGCTCATTGCTACGCTAATGGCGCTCGTTCGATACAAAAATATTGCAATAAACAGCCGATTGTTTATAGTTACATAAAAATGTACTCAAAACTGATTTACCAAATTCTTCAGTATAGTGAAACCAGCTGTACGCTGCTGGTGCTCATTATCCGTTTTACCAGCAGATCTGAAAATAAGGGACTAGATGAAGAATTATTAGATTTCTTTTACTCACTCTGGAAACAATAAAATAAAAGTAGCATAACAGTGTTCACCTAGTTCTACTTTGGCGTCTCAATAGAGTTCTCATGAGCGAGCTGGGGAATTGAGAAAAGAATCAAAATCTCAATTTCAAACCCCCATTCCCCGAATCTAAGAAATTCAGACCCTTAGCTCGTTTAGATCAAGGGAAAGTTAGATTTGTGCACTCCAGAAGTAGAGTGGGAGTATAGGTGGAATAGCGTGGGGATACAGCGGGAGAACAGTGAAGTATAGAGGTAGTCGAGTGGGAGTACAGCTGAAGTAGGTTTTCGGCTGTACTTCCACTATACTACCTCTATACTTCAAGGTTCTCCCGCTGTATTGCCACTGTATCCTATCAATACTTTCACCCAAATCCCAGAGTACAGGAGTCTAAATTTTTTCCGCTTGGATTTAAAGCACTACTCAAGATTTATCAATAGTATATTTTGAACACTGTAAACATAACTACTCTTTAAAACAAAAGGGTATTCTAGGAACCTCAAAATAGGCTTCCGATTTTGTTACTATCGGAAACCATTTCAGGGTTTCCCAGGCACGGTTTCCGAGACCTCGGAAACCGAGGAACGAAATAAAAATTTCCTTCGGATACCAATGTCGGAAACGGATTAAAGGTTGCCCGGATTTCCTTCTTCTCGTTCTGCATCGAGAACCACCAGATTGCTATAGCCCGGGTCGATCGTTCCACCCACCGGATGCTGCAGAAACCGACAAAAAATCCCCCTGAAAATCACCGTACCCTGTATGGGAACACGATATCCCTGGGACATGAAAGCAGTATCCCGCCCGTAAAGTTTTCCAAGTTTTTTCTCATGATTTCCGGTGCACCTTGACGAAAAACACAGCAAGTTGGTTGGGAAATCATCAAAACAAATCCAGAGAGTTTGCGGCCGGAGCACTGCTACCATGTTTTAATGATATCATCTGCTTTCATACAGGACACAGTGGTTTTCAGGCATCTTTACTGTCAGTGTCTCCAGGGTCTGGTGAAAAGAACGATCGACATGGGATGTTGGATCTAAAAAAGAAATAACATATTTCATCAGCTTTAACTATTAAAACCGAACTAACAATTATTATTTGCTAATATTATGTTGGATCTAAATAAAAATAAAAATTTCATTACATTTTAACTTTCAAAATCAAATTCACCCTTATACGATTTGTTCATCTGCTGTTTCATCTAAATAGAAAAAAAATTTCATCAGCTATTAAGTTTAAAAATCGAAGTGACCATTAATATTTGTTTATCTGAGAATCAATCTAGATAGAAATAAAATATTTCATCAGCGTTTAAGTTTTAAAATCGAACTCACCATTAACATTTACTCGTCTAACAATCGATCTAAACTTAGACAAAACAAGTAACCATCGCCACTCGACTCACTGAACCCACGAATGCAGAATGCGCAACGCAGACGTATTTTCTGTAGATACGGATACCGATAGGATCATTATATAAATTTTGTCACACAATAGCAATAGAAACTTCAGCCAAATTATAAATCTAAAAGAAATCAAACCATCAATGTCCACATCATCTTCAATTGTTAAACTCCTCTGACGCAGAAAAATATTACCAGATTATGAGATGATAATATATACTCAGCCAATATATACCCTAATCCTTAGAAAAAAATTTCAATATAAGGATAACAAGTCTCATTTCCGATCAGTCCAATTTCTGATCGATGGAAGCTAGAATGAAAATAATGATGACGGATTCCGATTCCTGGACGTCGATAACCTATTTTAAATTTTCATCAGCATTGAGAACAGAATTGAAATAAAGTGTCGAACTCTGTAGTCTGTGGAATGTGGATCGGTCCAGGTTGAACGGAGAAAATGTCCTTCTGAGATAATCTGAACTTGGATCATGTTCTGCTTTCTGAAATATTCAACATTTTTAGAAGTATGAAAATCTTTTACAAATTGAGAAAAACGCGGAAATCGATTTTGGTTTTCCAGAATCCTTTTTTGGGCATTCTGTAGGCTTGGAAACCGAAAGGGTTTGCGAATAATGGGTTGGGAAAGCAAAAAGGTATTGCCGCATACCCATTCGGATACGGGTGCTTCACGCAGGTCCGCCCACTTTATACAGGACCGTCCGCAGGCAAGATTTAATCATGCTAGTTTTGTAGCGCGTATCGAGTTGTGCAGGAAACCATATTTTGTTTTTAAAGAAATCATGCGCTAAGTCCTACAGATAGGGCTCAAAATCTGATTTTCTAGAAATTCGATCCCCTAAACCAAGAAGCTTCTGTTTTTGCGAACATGATTTGAAAACCTTAATCAGACGATTGGATAGAGCATAAAAAGTTGTCTATATGCAATAATTTTCGGATATGTACATAAAAATCTCGAAGCACTAGCGTTCTTACAAACACCAGAAAAAAGCGATTTTTGCTAAAATCGAGTACTCTAGAAAACCTACATGTGTGCATAGAAACCACGATTTGTTAGAGTCAAAATGAAGCTTACGTAATGCTAGTTCGAAATAGTTGGATTAAATTTTCACAATATATTCCTTAATTAAGATATTCGACTTTCAAAAACCAAGGATTTCCAAATGCTTCATATTGGGCCGTCATTTTCTCGACAACTACACGCCAGAATTCCTTCAAATTTTTTTTATAAGTGGCCCTCAGTGAGTGCTACCACTGCCAAGAATATCAGTTTCCTCATCCTGGAATTACAAAAGTTATGATATCTACAATTTCTTAAAATTCTCAATGTTAAGTCTTAAGATTTTTCGATTATAATCGTGAAAATGATCATTTCAACGATGGGTATAAGGTAAAATTTCATGTTGAATTCAAATACACTCATAATTGCAGTCAATCGATAGAAGAGTTTTCTAATATACAGAGAAAAAAAGTAAAAGGTCATAGGTACGCATAGATGTTTGGAGCAGTGCGCCAGTTTTTTCAGTATTTTTGAATATGTAATGGTGTATATTCAGGAAAAGCAAAACTTTTATTGTTGACAATGAATGATGATAACGTTATTAATTATATTGGTGTCTAATGCCAAGATGATTGACTATTAGCAATTGTTCAAGGTGTGGAAGCTAACTTGATAGAATTGCATGTGTCATCACTACAACCACCCCGATTCCGAACTTCATTTCAGTTCCCTGTTTGAGGATACGCACTCAATGCTGAATTAGAAAGTGATAAATTTTTTTTGCTAACATCCCAAAATTGGTACACGCTGCAGCTACACAATTCTACAACCTCTATGCGATGAGATGCAAAACCTTTTCGCTGAATGTTGACTAAAATATTATCCTACGTTAGCACCGATATTCCATATTTGGATCAGCATGCACAACTATTACCAAGTTTCATTATCCGACAGATTCAATATAAGGTAAACACTAGAGAAGAAGCAAAAGTCATAAAAAAAACTTTTTTTCTACGGTTTTTCACTTAGTTTTCTATATATTAGAAATCTCTGCTATAAACGGGCTGTAACTATGAGTGTATTTGGATTATGCATAAAAATTTACCTCATACGCATCATTAAAATGATGATTTTCAGAACCATAATCGAAAAATCTTAAGACTTAACATTGAGAATTTTAAGAAATTGTAGATATCATAACTTTTGTAGTTCCAGGATGAGGAAACTGATATTCTTCGCAGTGGTAGCACTCACTGAGGGCCACTTATAAAAAAAATTTGAAGGAATTCTGGCGTGTAGTTGTCGAGGAAATGAAGGCCCAATATGAGGCTTTTGGAAATCCTTGGTTTTTGAAAGTCGAATATCTTAATTAAGGAATATATTCTGAAAATTTAATCCAACTATTTCGAACTAGCATTACGTAAGCTTCATTTTGACTCTAACAAATCGTGGTTTCTATGCACACATGTAGGTTTTCTAGAGTACTCGATTTTAGCAAAAATCGCTTTTTTCTGGTGTTTGTAAGAACGCTGGTGCTTCGAGATTTTTATGTACACATCCGAAAATTATTGCATATAGACAACTTTTTATGCTCTATCCAATCGTCTGATTAAGATTTTCAAATCATGTTCGCAAAAACAGAAGCTTCTTGGTTTAGGGGATCGAATTTCTAGAAAATCAGATTTTGAGCCCTATCTGTAGGAGTTAGCGCATGATTTTGTTAAA